CAGGTGTGAACAAAACACAAGAGGCACAAATACCTCCCCATTAAGAGACGGGATTAGCACACTTGCTTATGTATGATGTCGCAAGTTACTTTTTGCCATTTTACAGGTCAAGAGTCCTACAGAATAGCTAGTTTCATCTTAAACGTGCACTTTGGAGGTGCAAGTCACCACTTATGTAGTAAACTCCTCATCTCACTCTAACTCACACAAAAGGAAATGTTAAAGAAACCCTTCAATGAAAGGTTTTTCATTTTTGGTTTTTAATTGATGAACTTGCCATCTACTTGAAGAACAGTTAACGCCATAAACATGAATTACCGACAAGCTCATCCTGTGAAGCCAGGTGGTGGGACACTACTCTTGATCAGAAAATGTCAATTGTCCCAGATTGATATGCAAATCTGTGAAGCACGGACAAATGCTGTAATTTTGCCATGAAAGGTCAGCCCGAGGCCAACAATGATCCCTATCAGTAAAGGTGCACACTGGCCAGTTCCAGAAAATGGGAGAGTGACTGTGTTGATGGAATGCTTTAAAAAAGGCACACAAAAAAAGAACAGGCAGAACTGAAACGACCCTAGGTCAGAAGAGTCTGGAAAAGAGGGCTGGAATTTACTCTCAGCCAGAGAAGAATTTCTTATAATCTGGTCCTGGGGGCACGTTTCGGATGTGGCACAGGATAGCGTGGCTCACTTGATCACAGAACACACCTCCAGATAGTTAGGGGGACTTGTAAAAAAAGGTCAAATAAAAGAGCACTTGCTTCTTTTAAATGGCTCCAAGGATACCTGAAGTAACAATCCCAGAGGGACTTCAGGGAATACACCTTCACAGAGTAGGGATAAGAAAGCACAATGCGTTCTGCTTTTACGACTTATTAATTGTTCTGACAAGTGACCCAAGAAAAAAAACTCAGTGTGAAAAACGTGTATGCTTTACAAATCATACGATTTACACCTCCAGTGTCCAACAGATCATGTTTTATGCCTGTACTGCAGCAAAACCTAATCCCATACTGCACAGAGAAATGGCTGGAGTCATTTTTTTACAACTGAACAAGAGACCTGCACTAAACCTGCTGTCAACTGCCACGTGCATCTATTTCCTGAAGTGTGAAAGTAATTTCTCCTCAAATCACTTCTTCCAATAAATTCCACAAATGCAAAACACCAAAAAAAAACGGCAAGGTTTTTACAGTACAATGCGTTTGTGTATCCTGCTCCTAAGGAAAATATTTCAGCTCAGCAATTTTTAAGAAAAAAATCAGTGTGTGAATGGAAGCAGGTTTATTTGATCAAACTCTTAAAAGGAAATATTTCCCCAAAAATGAGAGGGTTGATTTAAATTACACACAAATTCATCTAACCTCAAAACCTTACGGAAACAGATGACTACCTGACAAGGTGAAACAACATCCACTAGCAGATTATCAATACTGAAAACTGAAACGCACAGTTTTCATATATACAGTATTAACATTGGTATGCATTAGTCACAGTGAAGAGACTGCAGTGTAAAACAGGAAACAGGCAATTCCTGATTTAGAAGAACACATGGGAGATGTCATAATGAGATAGGAGAAATTTGGAAAAGCAAATGTAGATACAGGTTATCTACAATATAACTCATGTTAGACTATGCAAACTGGAGAGTTGTCGAAGGACAGAAAGAAGGAAACCTTGTTTTAAGAGTGGTAATAGATTTTAATGAGATAACAGGGACTTGAATAAGCAATCAAATTGGATGGACAGGAATTAACAGGCGGAAGGGTAAGATGTTAATATTTCCAGAGAATGGTGCAAATCTAAATTAAAATATTTAAAAACCCCGGAGCAGATTAATAAACATTTCTACCTCCAACATTTAGGAGCCAACACTCAGAAAATAATGTTCCCTTCCTCCAGACAAACATTTAATGTAGAAGACGACATAACTACTGGAAAACGAAAACATCATCCCCTCTCCCAGATGGAACCTGCCCCCCCTTCGCAAAACATAAGATCATGATGTTGGTAAAATATTCGAAGAACAAGAAACCACAGAGAGGAAATGTCTAGCATTCCTGAATACTGAAGCCACTTGCAGTTTCACCAACACCAATGACTAATCCCCTAAACTGTACTCTGTGGTAGAAAGGAAGGAGAGAAGCCATGGACTGCATAACTAAATTTTTACCTTTCAACAGCAACAAGAATGATAGATTAAAAAACAAATTTACCACATCATAAACATCAATACAGTTTCTTTAATAATTATGTTTTTATGTCATCTTCCTTTTTTGCTTCTGACAGAAGTACCACCAAGCAGCAGGCCAAAAGTTTGAGTCTATGATGGACAGTTGTGAAAAATACTTTGACTACAGCAAGTACAAAACAAAGGACAGCACATAAGGCTAACTGGACTGAAGCTATCCCAAACTCACTAGTCTGCAGGCCTGATTTTGCACGTGGAAACACGTTCAGTTTCAATAACAGCATATGAACTGACAATATTTAACCAGTTTACACAGATCAATGCTGTACTGTTACTCTTAATTCACAGTAACAAACCCTGTCCTTCCTTTAATTCGTCCATAATGTGCATTTCTCTTTAACCGCATAAGGCTTTGATCATTCTAAACTCTGGATTACTACATTGAGTATGGATACTATTTAGATACATTAAATACACCTGAAATGAACTCACCACTTAAAATAACAAGGAGTTATCATCTAGTGGACTAAAAAAAAATATTGTTTTAGACATTTATAAAACTTTCTAGATGATGGCGCACAAAAACTCTCACTGAGATCGTAGACAGAACAAACAAGATTTCTGTTGAACCACAAACTGTGATTGCACAATGGTATACTGTAGATGTACAATACGTTCATTCTGATAATAAGCACAGTCTACCAGATTAAAGACTACTATAAGATCCACCGAGTTACTCTGAAATTGTAACTTCCACCTCTGTATCCAGGCCTGATGACCCATTCACATTCTTCTATGGAAAACTCAGCAACACAGCGGAATAAACTAACAGAGAAGTACACTCCCTGCATCTATTTTTTTAATCAGTGACATCAGTCATAAAGTGTAGAGATTTTTCAACAATTTAAATGTTGTTTCAAAAAACCTTTGCATTTGAGCAGCTAATCAAAAACTTCACGTGACTTATACCAAGACAATTTTAGATTCTAACTAATTAACAGGGCATGACGGTACCAATGTGTGACCTATTCAATACCTTACTTGAACAGGTGACAATAAAGACAAAGAACACACCCCATGCTGATTCATATTACAGTTAGAACATAAAACGATTTCAGCTTCCAATTAAGGACTCTTATCGTAGTTTGCAGCCACACTGTCCTTTAATTACATCGTCGTTATCGAAAAATAACTCACCTTCATTCAAAACCTTCCTAACATTTGAAAACATTTCCCTTTTCCAAATCTTTCCAGTAAACAACCTCAGAGTAAGATTTTAGCGTATTTGCCTGTGAATTTAATTGAGATATTGGTAATTTAAACTCTTCCATTGCAAGAAAAAAATCTATAACAACAATCTGAAAAGAAACAAGAATTCCAGCAAATACGTCTCTTGGCCCCCTAAAAATGACAGAAATAACAAACTGTGCCGAAGCACCAGTAATTGAAGTGACACCTGCAATAACTTGAAAGCTATGTGAGATCACGAATACTGCCTTATGATTTCAACGATGTAAAAATGGTTAATACTGTGTCAATACATAGCCACGGTCTCACTACAGTGATTACGTACATTTAATTAGAACAAAAACCAATCGCTGACTATATCCTAAAAAAACTACAATCTGTTAGGTCTGTTCTTCTTAACTAAAAACCCGTTTCCAGAAAGCGGCCACAAATTTCCTGATGGTGTGCTTAGACTGCTGTCATTACTGAAATAATTAGATGGGGGCGGCTACTGTATATGATCTCTGGTTTAAGGACTTTAAGTTCTTGCTATACTTCAAAAATACTATGTAAAAACACAAAAAAGATGTTACAAACATGACCACAAACCGTGTGGGTCACTGTTCAAAACAAACGTGTGATAAAAGACATTTGGACTCGAGATGAAAATAACTTTTACAAGCTAGGAAGAGCTCCTGCACATTTTCTCAGTAATAACAATCAAATTCTTACAAACACCAAGACACAGACCGTAACCTTTTGGAAATGTCCTTTGAATCATTTACAATGAACAAATACATCACACATCCGTTAGGCTTACAGATGAAAGTAAAATGTATCCAAAAGTTACATAATTTCCTGCTTCGCTTTTGATCCTGAAACACAAGCCAAAAAACTAATGACAAACACACTATAATTTCGTCAAAAAAGTGGTTATTATACCATAATTTATTCCAGTGATCTACTACGTAGGTTATTCTAAAATAATGAGTGATGTAAACCGAGATGATCTATTTTATACTAGTTCAAGGTCCTAGTGTAGACAACTAATGATTTTAAATATAGCAATATAAACATCAAATAAAATTGACTAAATGACTTCTTACAATGTTTAGAAGGAAAACAACCCATCTGGTTCTGCAGCAAATGCATTAATGCATAAAGCGCCTTAGGCATTTTGAACTTCGATATTCAAAGAAAATAATATATAAAAGCATCAATTTTCGGTCAATTTAGTCAACTTCCAATCTAGTGATATTTGTATTTTTACCCAACCCATTCTATTACAAATGAATGGAATTTAAACTAAGATACTAAATAGCTGCGTGAAAACTTGACGGTTTTTATGCTTGATTTAAATGGAGCTATTTCCCGAATGCAGGTCTCTAAAGATAAGCGCCGGCTGCTGTACGAAGTAACACAGAATTCCGAAACAGGGAGCACACTGTTAGAACTTGTCAAAAACAAGCTAACTGGAAAGAAATACCATATACAGTATCCTCCTCTTAAAAGCAAACATACTAGTTCACACACTGCCGAAAAAAATGCTATAAAACAACGGTCATTAAAAGAGAACTTACCTTTTAGTAATCAGCAAATCCTACTTTTGCATAATACTGCAAAATCCATGTAAATCAGTTAAGTTTTGTTCTGATGAATTTTCCTTTTGAGAAAAAGAACACTTTATAAATTCCTAGCAGACCAAGTCGCTTGCTTGTAGTGCCACATATCTACTGGCAAACAGCTTCCCAGCACAATACAACATGTGGAATTGGAGGAAGGAACACTTCACCCATTGACGGCAAGGGGAAAAAATCGGATTTGAACTCGTTTCAAGTTGTACGTCTCCTTGCACGAATTCCGGACCGATGCGTAGCATATCAATTAAGAGTCGCTCATCGATCTCGAGAGTGCGATTTTGCCAGGTGCATCCGATAGGATGAAACGAAAACAACGGATTTTTACTTCACCCCCGAAGAAGTGAGTTTAGTAGCGTCCAACTCTGCCTGTCATCCCTCGCCTGGCTGCTCTAGCTGTGCTGCTGCACACATTTTGGAAGTCTACTACGCTGAAAAAACACCCCCAAGCGCCTCCCACTTTCAGAAAGATGGGAATAATCTATACTGCGCCTTGGCGCTAGAACTTGGCGCAGTTCAAGTTTTGATTTTGGTTTAATTTATTCGTACGAATGATCATTATTTGGCTGTTTAAAAAACCTTCTGAAAGGCTTATTGCCTGCCTTGGGGCACAACTACAACCAAAAAAAAAAAACTTATTACACCAGGAAAGTATATAACGAGGAGAAACGCCGGATGTCAATTAAAAAGAACAGTAGGCTGTACAATGCTACGAAGTTTAGTCTTCTTTTTCTGCTCACTGTCAGATATAAATACTTGAAAAAGCTGTCATAGCTGCAAAATGTATCCCCCCACAAACCAATGGGTATTTCTGGAACAGCATTCCTCGAAATCCTTGACATAGACTCTTGCACAATTAGGATTACACCCGTAACATTATAAAGCTTCTTCATCTCAGAGATACTGATAAGATACATGTTAAAGCCTAGGCAGGGAATTTCACTTTCGAATAAACTCGTTTACCAATTTGTTTTAATTTAAAAAAGGTATACATACAAGTTTCGAATGTATTTCACTATTGTTTGATAACAGCCAATATACTGTAGTGCTGCAGCAGTATGAAACCTTTTGCTTTTCTGAGAAACAGGGAACCATGCCAGAAACAGGCTTGTGAATCAGCTAGAGTGTTGTTATTTATCTTGCCTTTTTGAAGAAAGGTCACGTATCTTGTCTCTTAAAGGAGTTACTGATGATCTTAGCAACTTCACACCTGGTTTACTGGTGTCCCAGACATCCTTGGTTTTGCTGTGGCCAGTTTGCCCCTGATGTCAGTGTGTTCACTCGGGTGAATGCAGTTAAGACAGGGAATTCTGGAACACCAGGATCTTTGGAAAGTAAAGAATCTCATGTATTATATTTTATTTGAGGTGTCAGGTGTTCTGTATAAGAAATGATCTATTTTGCCGACGAGCTACTGTATATACGTAATCATTTGAATCGATCGTCCTTTTGTGACTGTCAAGGACCAAGACAACCAACTTCTGGGGAAGCTGATTTTTAGAAGGCAAGTCTCATTAAGTCATTTCTAAGTCATTTCTACTTCCATTTGCCATGAGGCTAGGCTCACACTCACACAATAAAAAAAAATATCCCGATGTTGCAAATTCCGAAAAACAAAATTAAGATGCCCATCAAAGCCTCTTAAAATAGGACAGGTTGTGTGACACATAACAGTTCTATTGTTTTGCTTCAACAATATGGAGAAAAATGGCATAGATTATGAATGTGGTCCAGTTACAGTATGTTAGGTCTACTATACAATTTACTCATTTTAATGAGTGTTATTGCTTCTATGGTTTATAATGTCAGTGCTTAATCAAATAATAGTTGATAACCTTTTCTGACACATAGGCCCTGAGGGAAATATTCATAGTGTTGTGCCTTGGACAGTGTGATTCACCACACTCTCCTGCCATGCTTAAACTGGTTTTCCCAAGGGGCTTTTTACTCCCTGTCTGAAGCTATACATTCTAAAGAATGCCATCATTCCCATTCTTTCATTTTTTGACACTATGTTTAATTTTTCCACTAATTATCTCCTTGATATTTTGATTTTGGGCTTCTTGATTCAATAGTCCTCCAAAATTCAGCTGAGGACAGCTGTTGAGTTGTAGAACTTTTTCCACCTCACTGTGGTGCTGGAATGCTGACACTCTTTACTCTCATAACACAAAACAAAAAGGCCATTATGCTTCTGACTTGGGGACACAAGGCCTCAACATCATCTGCTCTCTCACCTGTAAACAGCGCACCCAATATAAATATAGAATTATTTTGCCCAACAGAAGGCCTCTTTTTATTAACTCACTTTCGTGAGGACTATATTTCAATCATTTCAAAACCCATTAATTTTAACAACAATAGAAAAGGACGTCAATTTCCGCCATTGTTTCTTTTCTGTAATTCAAGCAACAGATGAGGGAAATTAAATTTGCATTTAATATTGTGGATACTTTTTCTACTCAAAGCTAAAGACAAGAAAATGAGTCACCTCTCAACATGCTGCACTGCAACTTGTGAGTATGACTTCAAAGACAACCTGCCATGTTAGAAAGTCAATGAAATCCTCACAAGAAGTCTAACTTTGATGTAAGAATGTGTAGTGGGGAGTGCAGGATGTTCCTCAGGAGATTTCCTTCTAATTGAAAGAATGGTACTGCAGGTGTATAGAGAAGCAATCTTGAATTCCAAGGTGAATCCTTCAGTTGTACTTGTTGTAGCCTCGTCTTACTGAGATTCATAAGAGTAGAAAACTCTAATCACCCGGACCTTCTGAAACTCTTTAAGGTCTGGTTAATTAAATTCAGTGAATGCAGCATAACATTTTTCACCGAAGGAGCAATAAGTAGAGATTTTTATGGGCAGAGAATCAATGAGCTTATTATCATTGTGAACAGTTTAAGCAGATTTCCAGACCTTGGAACGAGAAGGGTGTAGACAGCAAATCCTCTGAGTTGTGTAGCATTATTGACTGGATTACATTTTGTGCTGGCAATTCTCTCTTAATTAATTAGCTGGGCTGCAGTAAAGGGCTGCAGTTATACCGACAGGGAGAGCGTGAGGACTGGCCTTTGTGTCTTGTGGCACCTTGCACAGCCACACGAGAGGAGAACTAAATCCACAGCTCAGCTTTACTCTTCATTAAGACACACAATCATGTGGGGGAAAAGAAGACCTAAAGAGAGGATTGGCGCTAATTTGCCAAAAATCTTACAATCGCTTGCCTAGGCTATATTGATTAAAGCAATATATAACTGCAGGCCACGAGGTGATGCAGCAACTTCAGTGCATATTGTCTGCAAACAGCTGGTAATGATTGCAATGAAAATGCTGCAAAAAACCAAAACTGTGAACCCAGCTACCATGACGGATATACAGGTACAGAAGGACTCCAATCGTCTGATGGGAGAAGCAACTCCAGGAGAATTTTCATTCCCGTAAACAGTACTTTTTGCACAAATCATTCAAAAATATGGAAATAGGAAATTTGGAGATTTTGTACTGATTTGTATTTTCAGTTTTCAGACGTGAAGGTGAATGAGATAAAATTAATATTTTAAATCAAGGATAACATATTAAAGTACATTCCTCATAACCTAGAATATATTCATAGAGTATTATTCCCTATTCAATATAATTAGCCCTTATACTGTACTTAACAGAAATTTTTTAAACACAATGTACTACTTGAATGGGACTTCCACACAGTTTTCTCAGCAGCAAATGTCTAACTACAGAATTATTGCAGTTTGGTATTCTGTTATTTTCTTCACCACTCTTTTGTTGCTGTTTTTGTTCTATTCACCACAAGTAAAATAGAAAATATAGTTGAAATACAGGTCTCAGATGTTCTTAAACACAAATTCCTGAAAGCTCCAGGGCTCAGAGTTCAATATACAGTATACAAGAGTGCAGGGATTTGACATTTTCTGTGTCTTTGTTGAGGTGCAACCTCCTTTTGTATCAAGACAAGTGACACTGTTCTGCCCTGGATTCCAGTTACTTCAGTTATGTCTCGTAGAGGCCTCAGGAGAAACACGAGCTTGTGCTCCACATTTTCTATAGAAGCTTGTTTCATAAGTAATTTCAACAGGAAATACTTTGAAATATTACATCTGAAACCCAGGCACGGCAAGGTGAGGCCAGGACACAATTTTGAAAGAAATGTTTTGAGAGTACATGTGTGTGCCTTTCATTTGGAGCATCTTTTAAAAAATAAACCGTGAGAGGTTTCTTCAATAAAAAGCAACAAAGAGCTATATTGTGTATAATGTACCAAGTGGAATGCATCAAATTAACTGAATTCTAATTTAAAAAGTAATAATGATTCTTGTTTAAATTAATATTTTACCAGAATTGTAAAACACAGTACCTTCAGAATTTGCTCCTCTTGCCAGCTGATAAATGTCTCAAAAATTAAAATCCATACCCAAGTTCTACAGTATATTATAGATATCTGCTTGATTCTGAACTCTCCTTTGGTAAGAAGCAGATAGGTATGGGTCATCAGACATACAGAGGAGCTTTCTCTCATTCCTAGATTCCTACTGTCTATGCTTCATTTTCAAAGGTAAAGCTAAGGCATGATTTTTGACTCAGATGTGTTAAAGTTTACTCCTACCCCTCTGCAAATTACATGGATTTTCCAGTGACAATGTATAGCTCTTCATACGTTTAGTACTTTGATGAGTGGAAAATATTTTGGGAAGCATGATGGTGTGGCTGTTACTGCAGCTACCTTTTGTCCCAGATTTGATTTCTGTGTGTGTGTTTGCAAGTAATCAATCTACTGTCGCTTTGAAAAGAAGCTTCTGGTAAAGGAAGGCAGATTTTCATGATCCTTAACTGGAGTAAGCAGCCGTCTGATAACGCATTGAGAGATTTCTCATGTTTTATACATTTCATTAATTTCCACAGGATCTACAATATGTCCAACTGAGCTACCAGGCTCAAATACATTCATCTATTGACACAAATAAGACAAAATATGTATTAACATGCAGTGTAAGTTAATAGAGTCAAAGACACAACACACCAAGGAATAAATAATTAAAATCCTAACCTTATTCACCAAATAACTTTTGTCAGCCCACATCCTATGTTCTGTACAAAAGTCAGACTCTTAATACTAAGAAGTAAAATAACAATTGTGGACTGGCTTATGCTTTTGTCACAGTGCTGCTATTAATTGCTGCTTTGGGCCCAGGCAATTCCTTGCCTTGCTGTCTGAGAGCCGATGAAGTATCATACACAAAAAGACTTTGAAATTGTGCTTGGTCAAAGCTGCTCAGACTGGCTTTTCTTTGATGTGTATAGAAAAGAACTGACTGGGAAACAAAACATTAGGAAAGATTACTCTCCAGACAGCGCATTTCCT